CGCGCCGTGATCCGCGAACCGTTAAAACGGCGCTGAACAAGTCCACAATTTGTCTGGCGGCTTGGTCCAACTAACGAGGAAACTACGGGCGAGATACGCTTAAGATTTCCGCGAAACTTTTCGCCGGCGTTCGTTCGTTCGTTCGTTCGTTCGCTCGCTCGCTCGCTCGTTCGCTCGCTCGTTCAGTCGACGGTGGAGCGCGTAAGTCTTTCCACTTGTTTCGCAGCCTTAGATTTACTCGGGCGAGGTCGAACGCGGAGGTTACTCAAACTTACCGGAGTTTACTCGGCAATTTGTATGCTTTGCTAATGGAAAGTTGCCTCCGTTGACTGTAACGAAGTGTATTTTCGCGTAACGGCGGCAGCGGTTGGCGGTGGTGTCGAGGAGAGGAGAGAAATCCGCGGTGAGAGAGAAAGAGGGAGAGAACCGGCGGGGGAGAACGCGCGATCGTGACCGGAATTAAGCGAAGCGATTTTTCCAGCGAATTATCGTTGCGTTGCTTTTTTTTATTCCCTCCCACTGTTGCCCTGTCTCCTCTCGCGGGAACGAAATTGTTTGATCAATTATGACGGGTGGAGGAAGAGAGAAAGCGAAGGAGAAAGAGAGAGCAAGAGAGAGAGAGAGAGAGAGAGAGGAGAGACGTGCCGTGCCGTGCTTTTAAATCCGCGCGCGCGTTCGCGATTTTATTTGCTTATGCATTTGTCCGCGCTGGAAACGTGAGTTCACGTTCGGCAAACAGACTCTCTTAACGAAGCTGCGGCAGCGTACACACACACCGCACACCGCACACCGCCGCGCTAAACCGATAGCCCGTAAAAATCATTTCCGAACTTCCATCGGGCTCTCGTGGTCTCCCGTTCTCTCTTTCTCTCTCCATCTCGCGGCGCAGCCGTAGCGGCCACCGCCGATAATATCGACGCGCTATTAAAGTTTTCTCTCCCCGTCCCACCCCGTCGTTCAATTCCAATCTGCCGCGCTCTTAGCGATGATCGCCTCGATTCCCCCGCACCGCATCGCGTTTTTTCGCATCTCGCGGAATAATACCCGCTCGCTTTTATCTGGTAATTACAGCGGAAATACTCGAGAGGCACCGTTACGCGCTCTCGAGTCCGTTAATTGCCTCTCGCCACTTACCACTTAATCTAATCTTCGGAACTTATCGAGATCGGGTGCGATATGTATATATATATATGGAATATAGGTATATATGTATATATATATATTTATTCTTCAGCGTCAGCCTTCCTATTCATGTACGTAATAACGTGCAAACGCATAATCTTCGCCCGATGCGACGCTTCGCGGCGAATCGGATCGTACAAGCGATGGCGGCCGGTGATATTTCGATCGCGATAACGATCGAAGGCCGCCGCTGTAGATTGTTGCGCAAACGATTATTATTGACACGCGGGATTTTTGTCGTGCTTGCAGCAACAAAGGCCGGACTTGCCACGACTGTTGCAGCAGATGCACGCCCAGCAATTGCCACCAGGCGCGGCGATGGGACCGCATCCGGGCATACCTGGATTGCCCGGACTGCCAGGCGCGGGTATACCGGTCCCCACTTCAGCGTCCGCCGCGCTTCTCGGCTTGGGCCTTCCTCCGGGAGCGGCTGCCACCCCCGGAGGCACCAGCGCACATCCGTTGTCGATGCTGACGAAACCGGATCTTCATCGCGGTCAGCCTGACGATCTGAAACCTAACGGAGGTGAGTCATGCGATGATTTTTTTATATATTTCTTTTATATTATTCAAATCTTAGAGATTATTTTTAATATCAGGTCTATAATATTTATGATTGACACGAACACTGTTTGATAAAGGAAATCGATGCACTTGAAAGCCAATCTTTTCAGTGAAACTTTACATGTGCTATGATGATGAGCAGATAAAGAAGTGATAACAATATTTGTACAAGATGTATCTTAAATATTACAGATTAACATTTTGTAAATATCACACGTCAAGAATTATTATATCGGAGTGCGTCGATTGTTTTGTTAAGCAATGTACGTTTTTAATAATATTTATAAAATAATTCAGTTGCATCCAAAAAATTTGGAGCTTTAAAAATTCTTGTGTTCACGAAATTTTTAATTGCCAGAAAAGGCATTTGTTTGTCGACGTTCCGGTCAACTATTTTTCTTCTTTCGTTAATCACTCGAACGTGCAAATATGCGAATGTTTCGACGGGTGTGAAGTAGCGGCGTTAATAGCAAAGATTTGATTCGCGGAAGTCCATTAGTACACCGATGTCTCAACTGTACGAGCGGCTCTCGCGCACTCAGCAACTCATTCGTGAATATTTCGCGCGCCATGCGGTCAGTTTAATCATCTCGTTCGTGGAAGTCACGTGTCCAGCTTTGCCCCGTGCTTGACGTAAGCTCGGGGCTACCTGCCGCTCAATCGCTTATCTCTGCGCGCCTGTGAGAATAAGCCGGTAAACCAATCCTCGATCAGACGATACGTTGTTTTGTCGTGCTCGTCGTGAGTTGTAATCTCATCGATGATTCAGCGATATGCATGGCAGCGATGAACGTAAACACGATTAAATCCGCGCCACGAGAGATCCACCGGTGTAATGAGTGGAAACGTTCGTAAGAGCGTTTTAAGATGAGACGGAAAGAACACTTCGAGAGTACGATCGCGAGTTACTGAAATTAAACGGAACGTTCTCGTGCTATTTTAAGTGCGGTCTGGAACGAACGAGCCGGTGACGCAAACGACCGTGCTCAAGCGCGAGAGAAGCTCCTGAAACTCTCGATCTTGACCTCGAGAATCCTCTCGGGTTTTAGTCCTCGCTGCTCTCTCGCTCTTTTCCCCGCCTCCTTCCTCCGCCTATCTTTCTCGTCGGTACGTCACGCGAGTGCAAGATCTTCGTTCGCGCGTCTCGGGAGGCCCCCACGTAGCGCTGACAAAGACAACGCGCGCGGTTCTCCAGACTTCTCTCCCTCTCTCTCTCTCTCTCTCTCTCTTTCACTCTCGCTGCTTCGTTTCTCCTCTCTCGCCCTTATTCTCGCGCGCTTCCTAGCTCCTCTTCGATGTCTCTCGCTCGGCGTGTCTCGTTCTATCCACGACCATCTCTCGAGAGAGCACTCAGAATCTCCTCTCGACACGAGTGTACTTCCACTACTCGTCCCCGCCGCCTTCCACGCCTGCCGCCCTTACCCGCTGTCTCTATTCCCCGATGACCTCCACTCTGACCCTCTGCCCATCCTCCCTCTCTCGGCTCACGCGCGAGTCGTAACTATGTTACTCAAGCCGGATATATAGCTCGCGGCCGCAGTTAGCTTCGCGCGTTGTTTCGCATTTTCCTACCGCGCGTTGTCGGGACTTGTATCGCCTCGTCAAATATCCTGTTGCAATCGCTTCGGCGAAAGTGCTGCTGGTTAATCTTGGAAATTGCGTTCGTCGAATCGTACGTATGTATTTGCGACACGAATGATAGTGCGACGTTAGATATTGCATCGGATTCTCTCGCAACTGCACTCTCAAAACCGTGCAAACTTCTTCTTTTTCATTTTCTCTCTCTTGTCAAAAGATGAACATATGTTTGCCTCGCTCGAAGCGCGGGGAGCGTGAAAAAGCGCGCTGAAAAAGAACGGATTCGCCGCGGTTCGCATTGTCAACGATCGCAGCCACTCTTTTGAAACGAGATTCCGGCGCGAATCTGGAGACGTGTAACGGCCCAGTATTTCTGCCGTGACAACTGAAACTTCTTCCCTTCTTTCCGGAACATTGCCCGGAGCGAATTGTTTCTACCAGCGCGCGCCGCGTTATCGTTTTGCTCTTCCCTCCGGGTGGTTTTTCGCGTTCCGCCCTAAAACGACTTCATCTTCGGACATATCCGCCGCAATATCTGCCACCGGCTGGCTGTGTGACGCCGTGATTTCTTTTTGCCCGCTCGCGACGAGCTGCGGTTTTTCACGGTCGATTAGAAACCTATGTCGGCCACGTCGGCGTTGATAATGGCAACATTGATTTTCGCTCGGTTTATCAAAAATCACGTTTACATTGTCTCTTCGGTGCAAGAATTAACTGATTAATTTTAACAGAAAACGGATTTTTTGCTAATTAATTTGAATACTCGACAGTAAAGCCGCTCTTTATCCGATAATTTTCCGAGCAACGGAACGCTATATGTCTCCGGTACTTTTAGCAAGCTCGTCCGAAGATGGGAGAGGAGATGCGAGCACGCGGGTCCTTAAAACGTCTCTCGGAAACACTCGACGGCCTCTTCGCGCTTTAGTAGAAAATTATGCGCGCTCTTCCGCGTTCGTTTACGAGCGCGCGCAGTCGAGTGAAGGGGGAGAAAAGAGTTTCCTCTCTGGCCGGATAGCAGGAAGGATAAAAGGGGGATGACGAGCATTAGCGAGGTCTATACTGGCGCGAAGAGCGGAATACCTCTCGCTCGTTCTTCTCCCCTCTTTCGAAACGGCTCCGTATTGCACGCGTCCGCTCGACAACGACGCGAACGTCTATCCGGGATTTTAACCCTCTAAAACTCCGACCCTCCGGTCTTTTCCGCACGATGTTTATGTTCGGTTACTAGTGTTGAGCGATATTCAGCAAAATATGAGGAAATTCCATCGTTCCGATAAGGCTCTACCCGACTACTATCATTTGACGGACTATAAAGATCGTAATGGTAAAACCGCTCGTTCGCCGCGATGCGGATGACCGACGGTGCTCGAGAGCGGGTCGTCCGACCGGGAAAGTGCCGATGCTCGCCGAATTAAGGTTTCATCGTGCGACGAAAATGCGCGTTTTATCGTCGCGACTTGTTCCCGAGGAAATGTCGCCCCGTACGGATATCGCGGATATCGAGGTTCCGTCTCCCTCCCCGCGGCGTCGCGTCAATAAAAATATTTTATTTCCGCGGCGGTTTAATGTCGCGAGAGAAAAGAGAGGCAATTTATGGGTGGCCCCAGCGCACGAGGAACATAAACGGCTCGTGTAATTCTTACTCCGTAGTAAGGCGAGTATAACGGGAGGAAAAAGATATCGTTAAGATATTTCCTACGAGACCGAAGCGTACCAACGTGCAGGGGATAAGAGGGAAAGAGAGAGAGAGAGAGAGAGAGAGAAAGAGGAAAGGAGGCTGGGGAAATCGAGCGAGGGCAAACTATGAACTCGGCTTCTCGAGGACAAAGCTTTTCCGTCTGGATTTTCTCCGCTCCCCGTTCCAGCCGGCCTTTCTTTTTCCCCATTCTCCCCATTCCGCCCTCCCCCCACCCCCTCCTCATCCCACCTCCTCTCGTCGTCTCGGAAATTCTTGAGAAGTCTAGCTAGTCTCGCGCGCACTCCACCTTTCTTTTCCTTTTATCTCCTTCTTCCCGCGGAAAAGATTCCGTCGACATACCGCCGACTTCATTCGTTTCGACGTTGTAATAATAATGGAAAACACATTCATGGCGTTCGCGTTTTGTCAGAGATAAATCAGTCGATCTCGCGAGAACGTTGTCTGCAGTGGAGTAAGAGAGAACGGTGTTGCGAGTAAAGCCGCGTTAGATCTAATCTTGGCGATTAGCCAATCTTAACGATAGACCGATGATCTAATCTCAATTGATTAGTTTATCTCTCTAATCGTACAATGTTTTTTTCACGCGCTGAAACTTTTTACGCTCTGTTGCAGGTCTGAATCCAGCCGAGGAGAGGCATGTGAGTATCACATTTATACATTCCAGTAATTTCTCATTATTCGTCGCGAATGATAAAGACCGGCGTGTCGCGCCGGGTACTACCGGGCGCGCAAAATTTCACCTCATAAAGGGGATTGGACCGCCGCTTACGCGTGACGTATTATTGGATGATAGCGGAGGTGGACGAACGCAAGAGTGAAAGAGGGAATTAGCGCGATACGTGGTGGTGTGGAAGAAGAGAGAAAGAGAAAAAGGGAGAGGGAGAGAGAGAGAGAAACAGGATATGTGTGGATGGAAGGCGGAGATGGCGACGAAGGAGGAGGAAGCGCGGAATGGACGTAAAAGCCTGAACACCGGAACACAGGGCCGTAAAAAGCTCGTCGTCAAAAGCACTCCCTTCCGCTTTCATCGACCACGCGGCTCTTTCTCTCTCTCTTTCTCTCTCTCTTTCTCTCAGCCTCTCTATTTCTCCACGTTTCTCTCCTTCTTCGATAACATAAAGCGTCCGCTGGTTGCGGCGCGCGTTTATTAAAAGCGCTCCGGAGAGGAAAAAAGCCTCGAGAGCGCTTGAGGCCACTGCCGTTCGCGCTCTTCGTCTCTCCCCAGGGTCTCTCTCGAGTGTCCTGCGAGATCGTCCTGCCCGATCGATCGATCGATCGCCTCGGCAAAAGGCTCACGCGAGAAAGGGGTGAATCGATGCCGCGGTCGGAACTCCCACCTACTTCTCTTCTCTTCTCTCTCTCTCTC